CACACATATGAATTGATCGACAAAGGAGTTCCAATTTTTCTAGATTCGATTTCCAAATTTGGTAATAATCCTGACTGAAGTGTGCTCAACTATGTTTGTGTTTATACTGATGTGTAACACCCCAATTTGACATCAAAAATTTTTTGGGTTGCAACCTCCTGAGTTGCAACTTCATAGTTGTAGAGCCATCTTTATATACCATGTAAATGCAAAGATTATAGTAATAATATATTAATGTACAAAATCAACATCTTGCATTTATTGTCATCTTTTCCTCTTCTTGACATCATTATCTAATCATTATTATCTATGTTGGAATAAAATTATGATTAGTAGATAAATAAATAAATAGATAAAAATGTAAACATAAATTATTAGCAAGTGTAGAATAAAATTGTTTTGTGTTGTAATAATAAATAAAGAGAATTAAATTAAATTTCTTACCAATATTGAAGATATGAATCAATCTCATCTCAATGTGAAAAAAAATTTGAAAAAAAAAATCAGAAAAAAAAGAAAAGTTATAATTGGAATGAAACATTATAATGGTATTGATTTCAAAAATTTTATTGAAAAAATAAAAATAAAAATGGATAGTAACTTTTCATTAGGTTTTTTTGCCCAGAGTTTTCTGTCTTTTGTTTTGCAATTGTACATCCTCATTCTGCTTTCTTTTTAATGTTTATTGATTTTCTTTCTTCTTGGTAAATTTCATATGCAATCCTTTCTTTTCTTAGATAAGCTTCTAATGCCTGATTATCATTTATTTTGAAGATACAGTGAACCCTTGTTTCAACGAAGTATAATTAAATTTTTGATACAACGAGTTTTTAAAAACGTTGTTATAAAAATTCGTTGAAACGCAATTAGTAACCTTGTTTCAACGAATGTTGAATAAAATTTTCTTATATGTCCAGCCACTTTGTTGAAACAAGGGCAGACTGTATAAAGTGCAATTTTTTCACCTTGTTCCTTTTCAAAATACTTCCAATGGTGCTGTAATTCTTTGGTTCCATAGTAGACCTGATGTAATTAACTTCATATTATTATTTTAATATAGGGGTGGTTCTATATATCACTTAACAAATGGGACATTATAAAACTAATTGTGATGATACTAAATTTGACCCCTGAAATCCTCACATTCACTTTGTCTGGTTTTGTTGCAGTATGCCCCATATAAGTAATAAACATTTATTTTAATATTAAAATTGCACATGGTTTTATAATAATAATAATAATACCGACTGATAATAAATAATAATCCTGTTATAGAGTGAAACTGTATTCAGCTTTTACTTTATGTTTACAATTTAGTTTTGTTCTTTCCTTTTAGTGCCACCAAAAAAGGTTACATTAAAAACTTACAGGAATCCATATGATAAATCAAACAACAGTAACAGCCAAAATGACGAATATGAAGAGGCGATCCAAAAAAAAGTCCAAACCAGAACAAGACATGCTTCTAATGGACCAACTTATAGAATGAGTGGATGATGTTGGAAGTATTATAAGAGAACCTTCTATCATTGGAATCATAATACACCACTTTGGCAAGAAATATGTTGGGAATTCCGTAATAATTTCGAAAATATAAGAGTTCATGATAATGTTAAAAGAATGCCTCAATGGAAAACAAAAATGACAATTGATGGATATTGCTCAGGCTGTAAAGGATTTTCTTGACAACTATGCTGAAGTCCATGGGTTATCATCAAGCCTAGTACTAGGAAAAAAATTTAGTCACTTATATTCCTGTCGCCAACAGAAATGAGTCATAAATCAATCTACAAAGATTTTCTTACCGGCCTGGAAGAAGATAAGCATTTTTAAATCTTTCAAGCATGATGCATTCGCAAATTGTGGCATCAATTAATTCCTCAGATTCGAATTATATAAGTCCCAGAACAGATATATACCTTTGAAATAGATCGTGTCAGAAAAATTATAAGGAGAAAAAGAAGACATACTAAAGAAATAAAAGAACATCTGCAATGAAGAAAAGAATTTCTTACTAAAATTGGTGACACAACGAGTAAAATCGATTTGCTTTTTGGTCCATTTATTTGGCAATTTTATTTATAAAATCATTTGTGTACGCGCAATGAATCACCACATTGGATGTTTCATTTATTATTACTGACACAAAACGCAAGCAAAATCAACTTTTTATTTCCTTATTTGTCTGCATGATCTAACTCAAATAGAATTTACAAATTTGGATAACGTACACAACATAATTAATGCAAAAAAAAATAATTTAATATATAAAATAATATAAAATTTTTAATTAATTTGGTCAAATAACATCATAAATAATTATATATTCTCTCGATAATTTCCCTCTCTTCCCTTCCTCCTCTTCTTATTTTCCTTTTTCCTCTTGCTGCTTTCTACTTTTTACTTTCTACTCTCGTTCTCTTCTATTGTTTGGTCTTGTGCTTCAACAATAATTGACATTTCATGGAAAAGATTAGCAAGTTCCTAGATAACCCAAAATGATTGATGGAACAATTATTTAATAAGTGTATATATATAATATATAAAAAAGAATACAATTAATCTATTACATACTTCAATTGTTTTTTCAATCTTTTTAATATCATCATGACGTTCTTGTACTTCTTTAAGAGCTTCTTTAGCTGCTCCAAATCTTGTTGAATTCATCAACTACAAATATAAATATTTGTAAGTGTGTGTATATATATATATCCAAAAAATATTTAATATATGATAAATTATTAATTGTAATTACTGATTGAGCAAATATTTGCCCACCGTCATCATTATCTATGGCAGAATCAATTTCTTCTTGTGTTGCTTGAGGTTTAACTAATTAATATATTGAGAGTTGAAGAAAAATTTGAATTAATATCTTTGATATATTTTATTTTTTATATGTATATTTAATAAATTGTGAAATGTATAACTTACCAATTTTGTATTGTCTTTCCATTCGTTGACGATATTTTTGCCTATTTTGATATTCAACATTTTGATATTTTTGTAAAGTTTCCATGAATTTTTGACGTAAATTTGAAGTCTATATATGTATGTAAGTGTAGATATATATATAAATAAACAAATTAAGAATCAAACAAACAAATAAATATAATAGTAACAAATAGTTAATTCACCTGAGCTTTTCTAACTTCTATGTCGCCAGATTTAGCTTGCTTCAAATTTGAAGCTTCCAATTTTTTAATTCTATCTTTTATTTGTGTAAGAATTCCTCTTGTTTCCGATGTTATACTTTCAAGTTGACGCTTTATCCTTTCATCTTCAGCTATAGTACCAAGAGTACGCGAGTGTAATTCATCTATTTGGCTTATATTTGCTTGAGCTTTACGTATCATATCTGAAATTGATGATACCTAATATATATATAGTGTGTGTGTAGTTTGAGAATTGAACACGAGCAAATGAAAGTGATTGTATAATGAATATATAATAATAATATAATTATTTTCATAAATAGATGCATCTTTAGATAATTGAATAAATAATTAATCTTCATTACCTCATCAAAAAATGCGCCCACATCATCTTGGCCAATTTGAGCCATTTCAACATATTGTGGTTGTTGTTGACCACCCCCATACCCTCCTTGTTGATATGCACCACCACCACCATATTGTCCCTTATTTTTCCAATTAAGAAAAATAAATAATTAATGATTGATTATATTATATATATAATGTTATAGCTAACTCCTTCTTTTTCTAGGGAGGAATGAAGAAGACCGACTATTGTTTTCTTTTAAATACTTTTTAAAAGAAAAATGAAAACTTACATTTATGTCACCAGTACGGTCTCTACTCATATTTAATTATTTTTATTTTTATTAATTATTATTAATATTTTATAGTCTATTAATTTTTCCAAGTATCGATAAGATCAGGCCGAAATCTATATATTTTATGAGCAGAAAAAAGGTGGGATAAAAAATTTGAGAAAAAAAAGGTATAAAAAAATGAAATAGTGACAAACAATAGAAGAGAACGAGAGTAGAAAGTAAAAAGTAGAAAGCAGCAAGAGGA